TTTTTTTTTTTTTTTTTTTTTTTTTGGTACTGGGAATTGACCTCAGGGCCTCTCGCTTCCCAGGCAGCCACTGTGCTGCTGAGCTACATCCCTGACCCTCACTGTAGTTTTGATTTGCATTTCCCTGACAGGTAAAGACATTAATGATTTTTTTCGTATACATATTGGCCACTGAAACTTCTTTTGAGAAGCGTCTGTTCATTTGCCCATTTATTAATTGAGCTGTTTGAGTTTTTGGTGGCTTTTTTGGTTGTTCTTTATGTATTTCACATATTAATCTTGGGTCAGAAGAGTAGATGGCAAAGATTTACTACCATTCCTTAGGGTGTTTCTTCAATCTGCTGGTTGCTTCCCTTGATGTGCAGAAACTTTTTAATTGGACATAGTCCCATTTGTTGATTCTTGCCATTATGTCCTGTATTATGGGGATCCTATTAAAGAAGCCTTTGGCTATGGCTATTACTTTATGTGTTTCCCCTATGTTTCCTTCTAGCAGTTTCAAAGGCTCAGGTTTTATAGTTAGGTTTATTATCCATTTTAATTGATTTTTGTACAGGTAAGAGACAGCTCTCTAGTTCCAATATCTACATATGGCTATCCAGTTTTCCCAGCACCATTTGGTAAAAAGGCTTTTACCCAACATATTTTTTTACCTTCTTTGTCAAATGTCCGATGGCTGATGTAGTATGAGCTTGTTTCTTTTTTTAAATTAAAAAAATTTTATTAGTACAGGTATGCAGTACAAAATTATATTCATCATGGAGAGTTCTTTCAGGTCAATAACACCTTAATTCTTTCTACTTTCCCTTTCCCTCTCCTCCTTTCCATCTCTCTCCATCTCTTTGTCTCCTTACTATTTGGAATTATCTGCCTCCTCATTTCTATTATCTATCATTTATTTCATTCTTAAAATTACTTATACTTTGGGTTTCTCATATAAGAGAAACCATGGTATATTTAAGCTTGCTTGTCTGGTTTATTTCACTTCATAATATCTCAAGGTGCATCTATTTTTCTACAAATGACTCAAATTTATTCTTCTTTATAGCAGAATAATAGTCTATTGTGTATTAATTCAGTACTACCTTTTCTTCATCTACTAATGATCTTCATCTATTTTCTTCATCTACTCTGTTGATGGACATATAGATTTAGCTATTATGAATTATGCTATAAATATGGGTATGCATGTATCAGTGTAATATGATGTCTAACTTTTTCTGGAACCTAGGAGGGAAATAGGTGGGTCAAGTGAGATTTCTATTTTTAGTTTAAAAAAATAATTTCCATAGTAGTTGTACAAGTTTACGTTCCTATCAACAATGGATTTTTCTTGTTTTTCTAGGGCCTTGAGGTACATCATTAGGTCACTTATTTGGGCTTCCTCTGTTTTTCTGATGTGGACATTCATAGGTATAAACTTTCCTCTTAAAGCTGCTTTCATTGTGTCCCATAGATTGTGGTATGTTGTACTGGTGTTACTGCTTGATTCAAGAAACTCCCTTTATTTTTTTTTATTTCTTCTGTGACCCAGTGAATATTCAAGAATGGTTAATATCTAGGTGTTTGTAAAATGTCTATGGTTTCTTTTGCCATTGTTTTCTAGTTTCTGTGCACTATGATCTGGTACTCTACATGGGAAAATTTTGATTCTTTTGTATTTATTTAAGCAAGTTTTATAAGCCAATATGTGGTCTATTTTGAAGAAAGCTTCATGTGCTGCTGAGAAAAATGCATTGTGTCTTAGTAGGGTAGAACACTCTGTAGATATACATTAGGACTATTTGTTGGAAGGTGTGATTTAGCTCTGATATTTCTTTTGTGATTTTTTGTCTACTTGATCTGTTTGA